ACGGCACTAGCGTACGTAGGAGGTTTTCGAACCCTGGTTTCTACAAAGATCAGGTTACTCCGGTTGGAAGCCTGAACGACAGATGGTAGGTGGAAAAGTGCTCGAGCACCGCCATCGACTCTCACGGCTCTTTGTACACGGGCGAAATGTGCCTTTACTATATGGTGTACAAAGAGCCTCGAAATTCAGGTTTTTTAACCCTCTCTCCGATACGTGTCAATAACTTTTTTCCTTTTCACAGGGAAACATGTACGTTTCTTCTGTCGATGGACTATCAAGATACGTCTTACGGCTAAGAACTGTATATAAGGTGGATTCAATTTTAAAGAAACTAATCGCAAAACTATTTAACAAAAGTCAAACAATCTAGTTTCTCCTATTATATCCGTAGAATATTATACGAAAGATTAATCGGAAAAGGTCGGTATTCGCAGTACATTTTCTTATTTTTAATTGCTGATAAGAGGAACGATAATATAATCTCAAGGATTTATAGCACAAGTTCGACAAAATTTAGAAGAAGTTAAAACCTAAGTTCGCACCTCCATGACGTTGTTAATATTTGCAATTGTCATTCTACAATTCGTGTGATAACGATCCTTATCGAGCAGATGCCTATCGATTAAAAGAGGCGAATATCGCTTATCTAACGAGCTCTCTAGAAAGCACACTACCAGTAAGTTGCAATGAAAAATAAGTACATAAAACGTACGATTAAATTCCAGGGAACAAGATCGTCAGCAGAATCGATGCTTCCCATCCGATAAAACCGTTTGTTATAAATGTCTATCTTCAGTGAACGACAGAAACAGCGATCTGAAAGTCGTAAAACTAAAGTTATCGATTTGTTAATTACAACACGAGAAGTCAATTTATTGAAAATTGATTAAATTGGATTGTCAACTTATAAATGCTTTTGTACGAAGTTTCAACGAAACTTTAATTTCTCGTGAAATGGTAATACCACTTAGGCGACATAACGTTCGTGAAATTCCCGATAGTACATAAGATAATAAGCTACTCGGATAGCCTGATCAACTTTACTGCCATATTTATTATCTCGTATCGTATGTTTAATATTTGAGTCTTTTACAATGTTTACCAGTGTATTTGCAGTGTCCATCAACAACTTTGACGCTGTAAATTCTATGAAACAGGTCCAATGATTCATTGGCCCTTCAATAATGTTAGGTTAGTACATAAATTCTGTCTACTAATTATCATAGGATAAGAACTCGATTATTTAGTTTGTGGATGTATATCCACTTATTACATGTAGAAATCATTTGTTTAACTGTTGATAGATACTTTCCCGTGCATAAATAGCAAATCCGTAGGTTGCTGAATGGGAACCGGATCGGTTCGGTTGTTAAAATGTCCGACCGACTTCCGCGCAAATAAGGGGATACCATTTCCACTCGGATGCGTCTACCTGCGTTTCCTCGCAACGAAAGGGAAAGAAAATATCATTCGATACGGAGGAGTCAAGTCGGAACGCTTCTTGTTTGTTTCAGTGTGCAAGTTCCCTCACTGATATACCGAACTGGGTATACCCCGCCATTAGACAAATTACTTCCACTTCGAACGATTTTTACATGCTTCTATTCGCTAACTGAAACAAAGGAAAAGAATAGGCTACACGCTAATGATTCGAGTGCACTGCCCAAGTTACCGAATTACCTCGAAAAACGTAGAACGGTCCTGACCATAAAGCGAGATCTACGAAAGGATAAAAATAGCAACCTTTGTCACTGGTTCCAACATTTTCCTCAATACCTTAGTCTTCTTTCGGAACACAAAATTTCAAACTTAAAGTTAAATATGTTTATAATTAATCGAATTCGTCTTAACGGATACGTCATGATAATACTTCGTCGTAAAACAAATAACCTAAAATTCTTACTTGCGACAATTCGATTATAAAGCTGCCACAGGTTTTTGTTTAATTTTTCTGGGACACCGTGTACAAGCTAGCCTGTCCTTCGAGAAGTTCAAGTGTCTATTGTTTCAACTCCGTCGAGAGAGCAATATAATATCTTTTCGAGGAGCTGCCGTTGGGTTTCCAGATGCGGGCAGACGTTCCTTCGGGTCACGGGATGCATGGACCCGTATACGAGCTTCAACATTCACGACGAATCCATTTGAAGAAAAATTTTCTCGTGTCCTTGACTTCCGAAACGATTAAGAACAACGTAATATTTGTTTCACTTTCACCCGTTCGATTCGCGCCAAAAACTGTCTCCTACCAACTTTTTGAGCGCCAAACGCTAATCGCAATAAGCGTTCGAGTATCGAACGATGCCATTTCGATTTAGGTTGTTGCAAGTAATCGAACCGGTGAAGCTGGTTCGAAGCATACTTCGCAAATATTGAACGATATATCAATTCGATCTGTGAGAACGATTCTACAATTACGTAACTCCGAAATTTTTTAACTTTACAACTTCGGAAAATAATGTATTTACAAATAAATGTTTCGTGAAAAATAATCATTATCAAAAATAGATCCAATCCCGTAAAAATCCTGCTCCAAGGCAATTAACCTTTTTTCCCTTCTTATTACTACTTTTTAGTTTCCCTCCTTCTTGCTTCGTTTTCTCCCTGGCATTAGAACATTCGCGCAGCTTTGTCATCGCAATGTCTTCAGGCCTTTGATATTTGTCGCGTCTTTGGTAGAGAAGAAACAGCCAAGAGATAAACGAGGGAGGAAGCATGGTAGGTCGCGACGTTGCCATGCCGTTCTCCCCGAGATCCGAGAAAGTGTACAAAAACCATTCGACCCACCAACACCGAGAGCATCGCGTTCCTTTTTTAAATTGCCAGGCTAGCCATCCCCTCGTATGCGTTTAACTTACACTGTCCAACGCATGCACCATTTCTCTCGCTTATGCTCGTCGATCTCTGCTATCTCTTTTTCACTCTATTTCGTTGTATACATAAGTTTCCATCAAATACTGCTCGACGGAAACATTACCTACATGCGATACCGGCCAAATATATTAACCAGACACAGTGTACAGAAATTAATCCAGATTTCTACGTTCTCAACTTTGTAATATCCATAGATCCTTCTATCTTTATTATGCCTTCCTGCTGCCACTTATCTTTAGGCGAATTATGCTCAATGTAGTTTGATTTTAATAACCTTATAGGTACCGATAAGGCAAAAAATATTAACGACTTTCTATTATCGCAATACATACATTTATCTCTAATAATCGAATTTACTTAAAAATGAACGCTAAAAATGTCTTCAAATACGTACGTTGGATGGAAATGATAAAATTGTAAAGTTGCACGTGACGTAATGTGTGATACGATTATCAAGGTATATAGAAGATATTTGCAATCAATACGGATCAATAGAAAAGAAAGAGTTCTTTTGGAAATCAAACATCTAATTTTATCGTGTATTAATCTTGTCCGAATTACGTTCATTGTTTAAATATACATTACATCGTTTTGTTCGAATATATTTAAAGCTTACTAAAGTTATAGGTTATTAACCGCATGACGTAAGAACTCAAATATGAATTATACAAGATAATTAGTCGCGCATACAAGAGTGCTTTAATAAGAAAAAGTCTGTATTGTTGACATGTTAACGTGTAATGAACAAGTTCAGAAGAAGTCACCGGGAACGAATCATCCGTTCAGTTTCTTTGAACTCTATTCTAGCCGGTATGAATGAACGAATGAAACATCGTCTCGTTAAATGATCCCTAACGGGTCCATGCGTGGATCTCAAATTATAATATTCCATTTCAATTGTCCGTGGGATGTAAAATAGCCAGAGAATACTTCGTCAAAACAAATATAGGCCTGTCCGAACGTAGGCGTATACTTTTCTCATAACGCTATGTTCTATACTTTCGTAACAACTTGTTGTTTCTTTGCATCGCTTTGCAACATTGTCTTTTCGCTGACAAAGCTCGCGATCGACAGTTCGAAAGTTTCGAAGATTCGCGTTCGCGCGCTCGTATTAGGCAGAAAGCGCGCAAGCGAACAAGTTTTAACACGTTTGCTTACCTGTTTTCGAACGTAAAATCCAGTGGAGAGTGCGGCAATGTCAATCGGTTAATTAATACACACGAAAAACACCAAAAGAGAACTGAACACAAAACAAGAATCACGTGTACGACTATGAGGCGCACGCACATCGGCAGCACTAACGCGGCATACCCGTACACAATACAGATTACAAATGTATTATGGCTGCGACCTAGGCGTTCATGAATGAAACTAAGAGCGGGCTCCGACTCCCCACCACGCGGTACCGTGTCTTTGACCAATCGCTGGTGGGCGTATGCATTCTGCGTCATGATTTGTCAGCGCCTTCGGCTGTTTCCGCTGGAGCACGGTTATCGTCGGAGTATACGAATACATAGATAGTCCTCGCGATTTTCATAATCTTTTTTTCATGATTTTACCAACTTTTGTATTATACAATTTTCAATTATAAACGTGTAGAAATAAGACGCGAAAAGTATTGTACTAGCGTGTAAATAAATGTAAAAATAAGAAAAAACAGAGCACAAAGATCCTTTGAGTCCTTATCTAATCGTATAAGCACACTTGCTTATTGACCACAGTTACGCGCGATGTTTTAAAAATCTATACGGAGTAAAGCATAAAAATTTCAAGATTCCCTGAGTTTAATTCCCTTGGTAAAATATGATTTATATAATTAATGAATTTAACATTGAATTCTGCATAAATATATACTGATTATAATATTATTATAGTGTAATTTAATGCACGAACATGCTACATTTATCATGTAATGCGCATGCGAATGTAGACAAGGATACAAGACATATTCATTCTGTTGCTAATAATTATTATTTAGTGCACGAGTATCATGTAACATCATGAAAAAGTGATCTTCCAAATATGTAATCTCCTATTTAAATAGGTATATTTATTTACTATTAAAATTTTGCAACTATTGAAGTTGTATAACTGTCGACCAATCGTATTGCTCCATATAAAAGCATGGGTTTGTTCAAAGCCTACTTAGTTAAAACCCGCTCTATAAATTGTTACATGTTTTAAGGTTGCCGTTATTGACGAGTGTTAAGTCTGAAGTGTACGTTTAAGAAAAAGTAAGAATACATTTCTATAAATTTTATTGTGATTTACAACAATGCTAGTTGTGACTTAATTGTAATTCATTTATATAACATCTATTGTATTATTTTCCATATAATGAACATAACCTATTAATACGTTATGTAGTCTTTATTACGTAAGAGACATTTAAGTTTCTTATAATTTCATTGACTATTCAGTTTATTCGTCTCTAAATTTGTACCTTTATATCGTAATATTGTTTTACAAGTAGGAAAAAATGCTGACCCAACGTCTGGCAATTAATGTACCAAAAGTTCTAAAACGGAACTTTGGCATTATTGCACCAGCATTTCAGGAAGCAAAAGACCCAATACAGAAGTTATTCATAGAAAAAATTCGTGAATATAAATCAAAAAGCGCGTAAGTAGTAACACTTTTATAAAAATAAATCGAAAAATGTATTAATTTTAACATGAAACGATTAAAACTAGCGGTGGAAAATTAGTTGATGCATCCCCTGAAGTTGAAAAAGAAAGGGCTTCAGAACTTGACAGACTTCAAAAACAATATAATCCCACAAATACTAATATGACAGAATTTCCTAAATTTCAATTTACAGGTATGTATTTGATCACTTTGTAATCATTATGTATATTAAGATCTTATGAATGTTGTTTTAGAATATAAGAAAACTTTATTTTTAGATCCACAAATAACAGACAAATAAATACATCTATGCAAATTTATAAAGTATATACTTAGAATATTTACATTACTTTTAATACTAAGTAATCAGTTATAAAATATATGTACATGTAAATCTGAATTATAAATATATTAATTATCCCCTAATAGTAGTGATGATACTTGAAATAAAAACAATCATAAAAAATGAAATATAATACCATAAATTCACGTGTATAAATATATAATACTATGATGAATTTATAAATAGGTTTGTATTCTCAACTATTTCCATTAATGTTTCCATACTGCATTTCCTAGCTACAGATTTACATATCTTTACAAATTTTACCGTTTCATCTTTGGGAATTAAAGTTTTGAATTCTCCAGAGCAGGAACAGAGTTCATTCATATTTTCTCTCTTAATTTCTTTACATTTACGGCATTGTAAGTCTTGCAATATATATCCCATACTCTTACGATTTGACATATCTATTAAAAGAAATTCTATTTCTTCATTATCATAGTTTGTCTTGCAAAGAGGACATTTCCACATGTATCTAATCAAATTGGAATGTGATCAATTAAAATGAATTAATAAATTTACATAAAAATATATGTACATACTTATCATTTTCCATGACACAAAGATTATCTTTGCAAAGGTCAATGTCTCTTGTATGATTGCATGCTTTGCAAATGATTTCAGGTAAAATCAAAGAAATACATGGATCTTTCCATTCTACTACATCACTGAAACTACCAATTTTGATCAGTCGTAACATATTTTTTTGTAAACTGTACACTTCATTTTCAATTTCTTTATCTAAAGATAAAACCTAAAATTGCAAAATTTGTATTACTCGTTCTATCAAAATAATTTATAATTACATTTCCAATCAAGTACCTTGCAAACTGATTTAATTAATTCTAAAGCTGGATTAATCCTTTTAGTTTCTTTTCCATCTAAATCCAAGTTTGGATACTCTTCAATAGTTAATACCTTTTCTGGAATTTTCTTATGTATTTTCTGTATAATTCTGTAACATTTATATTAAATATTAAAAAAATATAATTTTCCATGCATTTAAAAATGATAGAATAATACTTACTGAAAAAGTTGTTGGGACAGATCTCCTGATATAAGTTTTTTAGCAAAATCTGCAGTATTTTCTAATGATCCCAATCCCAATTGCGCTGTTAAACTTTGACTTAAACTATTTGATCTTCTTCTCGGTTTTATAGAAGTATTCATTTGCTCATTTTCGGATATATATTGATAAATTGCATTTATGTATCCTGCTATTATAGCGCTGAAACTCGATTGACATGCAGCTTCTTTGGGAAGACATTCCATTAAATTCCATTGCATCACTATTTCAGGAGAATGTTCATCCTCATCTTCTTCTTCCTCATATTCGTTAATATCCGTATCCTCGACATTGTCTTTAACACTTTTTGGCAATTTTCCTCTCACACCGCCATAATTATAAACATCAAGCCATATTAAATACTCCCAACATTGTTCAAAAGTAATTTCAATACCGTGAAAGATTTCCTTATTGCGTATCGTTTGAACAACAAATTCTATGTAACCCAATGCATCGTTCACCGCTCTCTTTTTAGTACAGACGATCATTTTATTAAAATTTGCATAAATGATTATGGAACCCAGAGTCTTAAACTCTGCTAATAGTTGTATAAATAACTTTTTCATGTAAGTATGTAAAGTTCTCCTCAAAGCGGGATCATATAATAAAGCGTTGGGTGAACGTAGCCACCTATAGAAGTGAATGATCTGATAATCTGCAAATACATTTTTATAAACGGAGACATCCAGAAGCCATGTATTGACCATACTTCGTAAAGCTCGGAAAGCAGGATTACAAAGCGCAGTTTCATCGTAGCTAGGAATTGCAGTTAATGCAGAATCGCCTGTTGCCATATCCTGGATGGATGTTTGTTGTTGATTATGAAATCCAACAAAAGAACTAGTTCCGTCGATATCGTGAATATGATGGTATTGCAATAAAGTATTCACTGCCAAGTTTTCTATTTCTAATTCGATACAGTCACTAGAATACGTGCCAGGATTATTTGCAGCACAGTGTGAACTTTCTTCAAAATCTGTTAGTAATCTGTTATCGTCGTTTTCGCTTCCTCCTAAATCTGGCTTTTCCGTAGAGGAACACCATAACACAAAATTACTCTTTTGTAAGTGTCTGGCATAAAACAAGTCTGCTCCAAAAATTGTAGGATCCGTAGGGATATTTCCGATAGGAGCATGAAAGAATCTACACTGTTCTGTCATCAATTCAAGAATTTGTTGACTTTTTAAATAATGGCGAATCATTATCTTTGCGCCAACTTTTTGCCATTCTAAAGTGGCATACAAATTATCAATATCTTGCACGTGTGTGCTAATCAGTGGAAAGTCATTTAGTAATGGCATTTGAGTTACTAATGCTGTTTTATCCAAAGCAGTTTGAACAACCAACATCGTTGGTCCATGTCCTTCGTTTTTGTACGCTGTTAAAGCTGCTTGTAAAAGACGACAAACGCGTTGAAAATTTGTTTCGAATTGTAATGTGAATTGCATTGATTCTGGCAAAGTTTTTATTTTATCCTCCCCGTCCATAGATATAGCCGTGTTTCGTTCTTGAGCATACAACGTATTCATATTTGGCATTTGATTTGACGAAACTGTATCTAAAATAAATACGTGAACTCTTTTGCTTGCATTTAGAAATAGTCCCCACAGTGCTCTCTGATGATTCGAACTCCAGTGATGATACAGAAAAATATAATTGATTTCGTGGATATTTTGGAGATACGGTTGTATCGCGATACTTTTGAACTCCAATTGTTCTAAATTAAATGTGTCTGCACCATCTGCCATGTTCCTTGCTGCCTTAGAATCAACTGTGCAAATACATCCTAACTGAAGTATAGCCCTAAATTCCAATGACATTTGAGTTTCATAAATTCCTTCAATTTCTGGTTTGCTTAAATCTTCCAGCAGTTCTTGACTGTGCATTTGATATAGTGATTCTGGCACAGAATATCGGTACAGATTAAACACAGGCCTCGATCGTGGAAGGATTTTTGAACTCTTCGTCCAAGATACCTTCTTACCAGGTTCCGGATCAGGTTTCGGTTTACGAGTATTTACGTAAAATATACGAGGGATTATAAGACGTAACTGATGAAGTTCTCTTTCAACCAATACCCATAGCCGATATAAGCCAGGTTCGTTTGTCGCTGATATTTGAATAATTTGCCACGGTGATATAAGCAGTTTCTTCTGAGCATGTCGCAGGAAACCACCTAAAGTAGATGTATTGATAGTTCTCGTAATACCCCAACTACTTTGTTCTCTATTATCCGTAGTCGTTTTGCATCTTTTGCTTATTCGATGTTCAGCTCGCTGTTTGGCTTGATAGGCCCATTTTTGTTTATGAAATTCTAACCACTTCAGTTTCTCTTCTTTTGTTGTTCCTATTGGTGGTGGAGAACCTAGCACGTCTTTCCAACTTTTATTGTTATCTATTTTATCTTCTTCAGAATGTTTTCGTTTCTTCTGATTGACAATTGGCATTGGTTTTTTAAACGGTTGAGCAGCTTCCGCTATATCCTCAATATCAGGTGTATCACATGAATCTGTCACCTGAGTATTATCATTTTCTGTACTTTTAGGCACTGTGGCAAATAAATCTGTAATTTTTTTCTGTTTATGCGTTGCACCTTTTTCCATCACTCTTTTATGCAACCAATCTGGATGTTTTACTCTGGGAACAGGATTGGGAAGTCCTTGCATCGCAGCTGGAATTGTGATAATTTTTTGTATAGTACTTCCAAGCCTCTCGATGTAGTAGCCCCAATCTAAAATCTGTCGTATATCATCACTTTGTAAACCAGGGTCTTTTAACCATTTGCGTAAGTAATATCTTTTTATTGCTGGTTCTGATTGGAAAATAGCTAACGGTATTGCCCGTTCCGTCACGGGTGCACCTTGAGGTTTATTGGCGATAATATATTTACATGCTAATCCAGCGTCTTTCACCATCTGATCACCTAGAAATTCAGCTAATCTTTTAGCGGTGGAAATGGACGTAGACTTTTGAGCTCCATAATCTTCAAGTTTTCTTGACATCGATTTATTCTCAGAAATAAGTTCAAATAATTCGGAATCCGGTATGTTTTCACATTTGCTATATAGAATATCGAGCCAATAATCTGCATCTTTAGCTACGGACGCATAACATTCTTCCAACGTATTACCTTTCAAGAATGATTCGAAAACAGAAGTTTGGAAAATTTTTATCAGTTGAAGTTCACCTCTTCGTTTCACTTCAAACCCTTTCAACTCTGCTAAAGATCCATCAAAATTGAAGACTGCGTATCGCTTCTTCAACTTTTTTCCTTCTTCCTTTGCAGCAGGCAGTACCATTGCTAGATAAGGTCCATCTACCTCAAAGAATATAGAATTTTCACTTCTAATTTTATACGTTAGATTCTCACTATCAACAAGTTCGTGATATACATCGTTAGTAAATTGATCCTACAAAGAAAAAATAAATCGATAATACAGATACTTATTAAAACAGAAAAAAGTAATGTAACTTCTGATTTACCTTCACCATAAAATTAAGAATAGCATTTGGATAAGATATCACGATCTTTGACTTCTTTTCATGAGTAGTATGGATAATTACGTTATCGGGAAAAGAAGCCGGTAACACGCACCAAATTCCATCTGTATCTAATTCTAAAGGACGACCGACCTTTTCTATTATTTCTCTTGCTTTCATTATAATGTGCGCACCTGTGTAGCACACTATACCACCCATTTCCATGCTGAACCATCGAGACCTGTATTTGAAACGAATCAGCAAACTATCATGTTAATCTGTTATGAGAATGACACATTTCCAACTGTTAAGAACGGAAGATATATACCCTTTTCTCATGACGTAACCATAGAAGGAATTCAGAATACATTTGTGAGCAAGTTGTAAAGAATCGTATAACACTTCTCGATTTTTAGCAGATTTAATATCACCGGCGTCTCCTTTAGCCAAAGCTGCTGCTACTTGTTGTTTTGCAACTTTGGTAAGTGCTTTATATTCGTACCGCCTGTCTCTGAAAGCTCTCACGGTATCAACGTAGAATGAATTTTCTTTTTGACAAATCGTTTGCGTTCTTTCTTCCATTCTGGTCACTTTCACTTTTTTGTAAGCTTTCTTACAATATTCTGTAAGTCGTTTCTTTTCATACGAGGCCTGTTCTTCTCTAGATAATTCATGATACGCGCGTCGAGGACCGCCAGGAAATTGTGGTGGAAATTTCTCATTTTCCAGCTGTTGTTGTATTCTTTGGTATTCACTTAAACTTGCAGCCACTAAAATTTAAGTAAAATAATTGGGGATTTTAAACATGTTTTATTAAAGTTTTTTTTTTTATCTTACGGTATTCTCCTCTCCACATCCATTGCATATTTCTTTGGCAAAGTGCTCCTGGTTTGTTGAAGTCACACGCAGCGCAAACAGTTTCATCAACCATCGCGGACGGTTGGAGTCGATTTGTCAAGATAATATTTGGATACATAGCACCAACATCTAAATGGTATATTACAGGATTTTCCAATCTTAACGGTTGGTCTCTCAAAGCCTGTAATTTCCCTTTAATTTCCTCAACTACTTCATCAAAATTTGTAACCATATCTATTGGCACTTTTTCTTCTTCTTCTATGGCGTATTTTAAAGCACTTCGAACGCCATTTAATAGTTCATCAATTGCGCTTGGTATTATTTTAAAGCGACAGGGAATATCAGCTCTGAAAACACCAGACTCTAAAGCTTCTACATGACCTCCTACATACGTCTCTTGATCTAATAAGTGACCATCTTTCGTTAATTTACTGAACTCGGCTTCTTGTTTATTAGGAAATATAATGTTAGCTTGATAGGCTTGTACCATCAAAAGAGATTCACATAATGTACCAGATCCCTTTCTAAGCACCTATAAATTTCAATCATGTATTTTCTAATATACTCACTGTATATTATATTAGATTTTAATAGGACATACTTCATCTGGTTCCATAGGAATAATTGTACACAATGCAAAAATAAAAGGATGAACATATTTGTGGTATAGATAATAAGTAGCAACTGCATCAGATACAGAGTAATTTGCAAGAGTCTCAGGCTCTTCAGATGCTAATTTACACATGTCCTCAGGATCAAGTTCCACTGGATCATATCTAAGTTTTGCTTTAGCAACAGCTTTTAAGTTTTGAGATCCTACAGGTAAGTAAGAATCACGTCTTACCCAACTGTGAAGTAAGTCAACGATTGTAGATTAAGATACTGAATGCGGCATTTTGAATAAGCATAATTTAAAATCTATTACCTTAAACAATCCATATGCATAGCTGGTCTACAAGTATAAACTCCATCCCGATTTTTAGAAAAACCTATTCTATCTTTCATATCCATATTATGAAAAGCTGCTCTGGTTTCTACGAACGGCCAATCGAAAAAATCGCCGTTATACGTTACAAATATATGCGGTCGAATATCATTTATATGGTCAAAAAACCGTTTTATCGTAGCTTTCTCATTAGGTTCGTTAAAGATTTTAAAAAATCCTTCAAATTCTGGTTTTGGTGTATACTCAAAATCTTCGATATCACATGAAATTATTTCTCTGTTTGTTATTAAATACCCCTGCAATGTAACAGTAGAATATTTTTAAATACTTATTAAGCATCAGTTTGGAGGATTTCAGACAATCGTGGTCTGAAATCTTCATTAGAATATTCCATTTTAAAAATAATACTTGTCCATCAATCATATATGAAATCATCATAATTTGATCCATATTAGCATCTGGAAATTTTAAAGGAAGTTTTGTAGTTTCAATATCATATGCTAATATTATAGGTTCAATCGGTTCAATAATGTCATCTCTCTTTGTAATAATTGGCACATCACGATCCCTAGTCCTTACAGAATACCAGCTACCACAAAATATTTTCATATCTATAGAAACTCTTACATGATGTGGTACATCGTGTTCTCTGCAAATGGACAAATATTCATTATTACAAAAAAGGGACTTATAAAATATAAAACATAAGTATATGTGTTTACCTAATATCAAGAATATTATCTTTAAAATCAATGGTTTGCTTTTTATAATCCACAACATTTTGATCTGGATTTAACACAGTTGACAACATATCACTATAGTAAGTATGACCCTTTTCTCTATCCTTGTTTAATTTCACAGCTTTTATAATATCACGTTTCACTTTGTTCAAGTCTACCGTGTTTAAAAAATATAGTTTTAGATATTTTTGTTTTAAACCAATAAGATGATTTGGCTAAAAGTATAAAGAAGTAAAAAAACTATTCCTTTCAACTTTGTATATGTTTCTCTAACTTTATCATACCAGATCCAAATCTTCTTTGTAAATTGTCTCAACTTTATGTATAAGATCAGCATATTTTTTATTTAAACCAGTTGAAACTTCTTCATATGTGTCTTTTTTGCATAAGATATAAAAATATGGACAATATGGAAAAGAAATTTTAAATCTACTACAGTCTTCTTCTAAAAAGTAATAATCTACGCCACTCAGTAATCTTTTATCATCCTCTATAATTTCTGTCTGCAAAAAATTATATTATTAAGAATGCAATTCTACAAAATGATTATTAAACACTATTATTTTCTTCATCTTACTGTATGCATATTTATAAGAAATCCTATTCGTTCTTTTGTATCAGTTACTCTGTGAAATCCATATAAACCATCCACTCTAATATTTTCATTAACTAGACTTAATCTTCCTCCTGAAGTTTCTCTAAAAAAATACAAATGAAGATTAACAATTAAATATGATACATTTAATTATAATATTATAATTTACAATACATGTCAAATAAAAAATATGATACCCTGATGCATTTCCCTCTTGATTTTGATCAGCTTGATTCTTTACATTTGTTTTGAATGGTCGAAATTTTCCTGTATTTTGTAGAGTCGTCATATTGCTGAATATTTAATCATATAAAATATAAATAATCATAAATTATAAAAACAGATATTCTTCAACAAGGCACTGCGGTATTCGAACGCTGCATGAACAGGTTGTAATTTGCCCGCCAATATATATTTTTGGTCTGATAGACATGTAGCGACAATAATAAAAAAGTCATATCGTTAGATCGATAAAAATAAAATTGGCATTTATTTATATTTATAACGATAATATTATGTATTTGTACATGAACAAAAATTATATTGTCGTGTATGTATGTATGATCAAGGTGATCCTAATGCCTCTAGATCCTTAGATTCCTATATCCTTATAACCCTAGATTTTAGATATCCCTAGATCCTTATATGTATGTATCACTATATCTGAGATTTATAAACAATTTTGACATTATTGCAGAGATTTTCAGTAGGATGAATACATACATTGGAATTAATAGAAAGTTACTGTATAAATAAATGATCTACAGAAAGAAGCAAAAATCCCGACGCTTATCGATTCGCAAAAAGGAACGAAATTGTAGGTGGCTCCACGACAGTGATGCGGTTCATCAACAATCGTTGTAGTTCGTTAAATAAATTAGTTTTGCAGTTTTAATAAACATTAATTAGATGAGAAAATTAGATGTACAAGAGGCCTGGGGCGCTGAAAGGTTAGAGGCGCAGTTAGAAGCAGCCCGAGATGGTCTACGAGGTCTCGATCGAAGCATTCGAAAAATCTTGGGCCGGGATCTCCCTGATGGAGAAAACGGCCCAATACAACCACCACCCAGGTTAAATACACAGTAATCTTGTTTTATTTGCCCCTAATGAATCCTAGAAAAATGTATCTTATTTAATGGTTTGTTTATTTTGTAACGTTGCACGGTTGTCTTCAAACATAACCTATTTGTTGTAGCCAAAACACTTTCAACCATTTTACAGGTTTCATATAGGTTTATTGTCTCCGCTTTTATGAGTTTATATTTATCGGTGAACTTCTTGCTTCCCAATATTCTTCCAATATTTAAGATTATTTGTAATTCAATAAGATTATTTGTCATGCCATTTTAGTAGATTGTCTCAAAAGAGACCACTACAAGAAGATAGACGGCGTGTTGTATCAGACTTTGTCAACAATGAATTACCTGGTGGTAAACGCAGATGGCAAGGTTCAAATGGTGAACCAAAAACAGTTTTCAGTCGTTTAAGTGCACGTGTACCCTCTAATAATGATGATAGTGCTGATGAAGATGATAATGTTATCAAGGTAAAATTAAATAGATTTATTAATCATTATGGTCCATAGATCTTAACATAGTAATTTCAATATCATTTTAGCCAGCAGTATCTTCAAGGGTAATAGCAACTCCAAGGGAAATCCCATCTCGCCAAGAAGTTATTAGACGCGAAAGAATAGATGAACGCAGCCGACAAAGGAATAAACGAATGTTTGGAGCTCTTTTAGGTACTTTACAGAAGTTTAGGCAAGAAGAAACTAAACTGAAAGCAAAGGTATATTTGTCTTTGATGTAAAGTGTTGAATCATGTTTTGAAAAAATAAAAATATGAATTTTTTTTCTTGTAGGAAGATAAGAAAGCAGAAGTGGAGGCAAGGGTAGAAGAAGCTCGAAGAAGAGAGAAAGAAGAGTTGCGAAGGGAAAGGCAACAGTTGTTTTTGTCACGTAAACGGCAATTAGCTGAAGTACGAGCATTAGAAGCAAAGTTAGCACGCAGTCGACAGTTTCAAGATTGGCGCGCTGCACAGTTACCGCTCGCTTCCTTTATAAAAACACGTGCTCAACCTGCTATTTACTACGTACCAAAGCGTAAACATCCACAAACCGATATTTTGTTGGCTCAATCTGCGAAAGAACTTCACGGTATTCATTTTTATAGTTAATGTTATACTTAATAAATGAACAAATTTATTACACTCATATTTGATGTTACAGAGGAAATCGAACGAAGGGAGAAAGCATTAGTCGAAGAGCTTGAATTAATAGAAGTACAAGTAGGTCTTGGTAAACATCAACAAAGTTTCGATGGATCAGCAACAATAAATACGACAACGGAAGTTCAGCAGTCGACGGAAGAAGGAGAGGAAAATCGCGATCCAAATCCGGAACAAACAGTGGAACTAGAGAATAATGAAGAACCTGCTCCTCCGGTAAAATTTGAGAAGAATGAGAACTGCGATAATTCAAATGATATCGAAGTAAAGGAAGAAGTGCAAGTAGATGAGGCAAAAGATGAAAATAATGGCTAGTATTAAATGTACTTACAAAGCTTGTACATATTACGTACATTGGATGGTCCAACGAAAAAAAAGTTTTTCTTATACGACACTTCATGCGTGTGGATAAAATGTACAATTTTCGAAAGGATTTCACTTTCTACTTGTTCTCGTATAGATACAAATTCATTCCCTTCATCGGATTACATACTCATTTTTTCATCATGCATCAAATGACGGAAGTTATTCAAATTTTTCTTAGATTTAAGGAAAAATATCAGTAAGGATAGTTGCAATTCATTCAGATCCCATATTTTTTAAATGTTACATATTTATATGATGGCTGTTGTAGCATATTATTTAAGTAACTACCATTTTGTAGGGAGAATGAAAGAACATGGTGGAGAAATAAGTATGTTGGTAAACTATTTTAAATTGATTCGATACCTTTTCTAGATTTGAAAATTGTGTATAATAGTCCGTTTACTGATTATTTTGTAACAATATAATTTTTTTTTTAACGCATCTTCGAAAACGAAAAGCATTAAATGAAGCATTTAATGCTTTACGTACATGATAGAATAGAGTAATATAAATTCCAATCTCAAGCATATCTTATGCAAACGTATTATAGTTCAAATTCTTTTCAAATTCTGTTCTTTTAATTATACGACTCATACAAATTTGTCACGTGTATAATAAATATTAATCGATATGAAAAATGAAGGGGGTAATTTTTCTCCATAAATAATATTAAAAGATACTTATTATCTATATGATAAATAAATACAGATTTTTGTTCTAATCTTTTATTAAATAAAAACATTTTTAAATTGACACTGTTATAATATATGCAATACCTTTTAAATGTATAATTCATTTTTGTTACTTTGCATCAATTCATGCCATATTTTCTAATTTGAATTTCTTTATCGATTGTTTTACCAACGATAGGTACATATATCGAAAACTAACTCAATTCAATATAGATGTCGTTACGATACGTCAACATTAATAACTGCATTATTACATTCTAAAAAACATAATATCAATTGTTTGTAATTATACTTAAGAATAGAATCAGTAGTTAATTAGTCATTTTTTATTAAAGATTTACTTTTGAAATTCAAAGTACATGTAAGTAAAAATAATATTCTTTTGTTTTTATATCGATCTATTTTAGAAGTTCATTACTTCACCGTTTGATTGAAGTTCGATATCTCGAAAGATATGATCATACGTCAGTTTGTTCACTATGAAGAAATGCATCAGACGCGAAGGAACAAAATTAAATGTTATAATCAATTAACTAACTTGTATTCGAATCGTATTTCGGAAGCTCAGCCGGCAAATTCGACGAGACTTCCTATCTTCTCCGTTAATATTCGAATACAGGAGGGGATGGTATGAAAGGGGCGTTCCGCCATGCAATCTCGGAATATGGCTAATGCGTCTCTGAGTCGTCGTTTACTTTCTTTGCTTCCCTTCCCTTTAAAGTTCAGCAGAATAGCTGCTCAGAATGGTAAATATTAATCTTTTCCTTTTGTAGAGTCTTAAACAAAATTAGCTATAAATAATCTTGTATATAATTAAAAACGATTTATAACCTTTAAAAAATGATGCTGAGACTAAATGGCAGCACTGATGAATCAACTCAAATTTTTCCCGCCAAGATGTTAATCTTATTGTTCCTTTAGTTCGTAGAGTGAACTAGACAAGTATTATATTTATTATATATTATATTCTATAATATTTTTTCACGTGTGTGAAAGGTAGTTTGTGGTCAAATTTGAGCTGGGTTTAAATCTTTCTTTCCGACTTCGTTATTTCATCATGCATATCATACGGCTCCTTAGAAAAGTGCCTTCAGCATCAATCAAGATCAATTCACGACATTTTTCACACATTATCCACCTCTGATGTACGGAAACGAGGAAAAAAAGAGAAATAAATTAAAAGTAAGTAAAAGTGACGTCTCCCAGCATCGGCTAGCGCAGAAGCATGAAGCGTGCGACGCGACGCGCCG